TAACAATATCCTTGCAACAGTTTGGATTTGAAGTCCCCAAAAGGTGCATGTACAGCAGGTTTGCTATCCCAGAGGGTGCTGTAGGTAATGGCTGAGTCTTTAGAATGAGGACTTGGAGGGAAGATACTCAGATCACAGGGGTGCTTCCCTGTAGGGAAGTGTGGGACCCTGGTTCCTTATTCTCCCTCTCTCTTTGGCCATGAAGTGAGCAGTTTTACTGTGCCACACACGTCCACCATGACATGATGCCTTATCCCCTGCAATGGGGCCAAGTGGTTATGGACTGGAAATTATATCTGGGAGCCAAAAGCTTTTTTCTTTGAGTTGGTTAACTTCCAAACTGTAGTAACATGTAAATGTGGAGTGTTGAAACAATTTTATTGATGATGTGAGATGATACAAAATCTACAGGGTAAGACACAGCAAAATGTGGTAGACATCATGATGAGAAGTCAGCTATCACTGAACTAAATTAAACACAGCAGTACTTTGACAGTTGATTTGATAACAGAAAAGGTCCGGTGACCGTTGGGTAGGTGGCGTGCTGTATGTAGCATGGCAACACTGAAGGGATGATTTTTGTGCTGGGTAGGATGCAGTGCAATGGTACAGGACCAGTCACTACCATTCTACTCAGAATTGTGCATAATTTAAAACTTATGAGTCCCTCCTGGAATTTTCCATTTAATATTTTTAGGCCACAGTTGACCCAGGGTAACTGAAAGCATAGAAAGTTAAAATAGTACATGAAGGGAAGCCTACTGTGATTGCATTCGAAGTATGCACCCTGTCAAGTGCTATAGATATTACAAGGCCTACAGACCTTTTCTCAGGAAACCCTCGGTGCCGAGAGTGGTGGCGCAAATGTGAAACCTAAATCTCTATTTTCACGGTCAACTCCCAACTGATAGGTGGATCATGGCAGAAGTGACATCCATCTCAGCTAGGTACCAGCAACCTTTAGGATCTGGTTGTAGCTTGGGTATAAGGGATGAGGCCCTGTCCCTTGTGGAACAGCCTGTGGAGAAATAGCCAATGCTGCAAGACACAAACAAGGAAGTGGGGTCTCGGTATAGTCCATTCTCACCCACAGGAACCAGGAAACTGAGCCACGACTTTGTATTATAGGAAGCCCAGTTGTGTAAATGTGTGCCAGCTCTACAGGTTTACCAAGACCAACTCCAGGGCCAGCACCTGGGGAGGTGAGGAGCAGGTATAAGGAACGTAGCTTTGAAGTCAAACACATCAACCTTTCAAATGCAGCTTTGGTTCACTGGCCACAGCAATTCAGCCTCATGTTGGTATTATCCTTGTTCACAAAAGGGAGAGAACTGTCGTCTTTTCATGGATTTTGGAACTAAGTATAACAATGTGTGTAAAGGGCCTACTATCTAGCCCGATACTTATAGATTCCTCCTCCCGTTCCTACTAAGCCACAGTTCCTGGAGATAACTAGGCTTTCCAATGGGCTTAGGACAAGCTGAGTGCTGGGGTGCTTTGAGCAGGGTGATGTGTATGCTCAGGATGGCCACAACTCACTCTGTTGCCTCCTCACCCCTGTGACGACTGGGGCTGGGTATCATTCCTGCTTTGACCCACCCCATCCATTAGGGGCAGCTACTGGTACACAAACAACAGCACCAAGCGTCTGCTAAGAGAAAGTTTTTAGCCGCCATGATTTCCTCAGGTACCAACAGGGTATGCTTAGTGTGGATTCTTCTTATCTTGTGATGTGGGGTGATGATACAGTGCCTGATGAGGCAAGGGAGAGGAATGATGTAGACGCTGGGATGCAGTTAGACAACTAATGATCTTGTTTGAGCAGAAGCATTGCAATACCGTGATAGTTGATCCGATAACGGAGAAGCTGCTAAGTGACTAACGGGCGGGTAGTGTCTACAGTGTGGAACTGCTGGACAAAGGGAGGATTCATGTGCTGGGGGCGTGACGCCCATTTCCACCAGTCAAGGAGAACAACAAAGCAAACTCCCACAACAGCAGAAATGTTGAACCATAAAGACAATGGGTTTGATGGCTTAAGAATAGCAATGCTTCTGAAACCAAGAAGAGATTAGAAAAGCACACAAGAGAGAGAAAATACAGAAATGGAAGCCAGAGAAAAAAGACAATTTTCTTTGAATTAGTACTAAATTATCTCAGCAAGAGATATAATGTAGCTAATATAGCTATATAATATACCTAATATAGCTATTCTTTCACTGCAGCCAGTGAATCCTACAAACAAATTAAGGAAAACAACGCAGTGTAATGCTCAGAATTGAAAATTCATACATAAGAGTTGACATTTAGGGAGAGAAAGAAGTTTTTTAGGAGCACTGCCCTCTGTGTGGGTCCAATTTTGTTTAAAATTCAAAGTATGTAACACTGGCAATTCCATCTACTGTAACACAACACGAGGATTCCAGAAATCTCTTCTGACAAGTCTAAGAAGGGTTAGTAAAGAAACAAAATCCCATGTTCTGCTCTATCATCAGTTTCTGAGGAAAGGATGCCCAAAGATTGGGCTGGCTTTTCGAGAACTTTAAAAAAGATACTGAGACAAGACAAGATTGTTATCACAAATGTAAGACAGTGTTAGGAGGGCCGGGGATTTAGCTCAGCAGGTCGGTAGCCTGCCTCGCAAGTGCAAGGACCCGAGTTCTATCCCCAGTACCAAAAAAAAGCACAGTTTTAGGACAACTGGGAAAATATGACTGCGTCGGGATATTAGGGAACTAAATATTTTTGGTAGGTTTGTGGAACTTGAGGTTGGCCTATTTTTATGAGTTCTATCCCCAGTACCAAAAAAAAAGCACAGTTTTAGGACAACTGGGAAAATATGACTGTGTCGGGATATTAGGGAACTAAATATTTTTGGTAGGTTTGTGGAACTTGAGGTTGGCCTATTTTTTTCTCCATTTTTAATTGTTATTAGTATAACTGCAGTAAACAGTGTTACATGTACATAACAAGTCTTTTTAAGGTCCCTTTCCTCTTCCCAGCTGTGCTAAAGTATTAGGGATGCAGTGTTGTGACTGTAATTTATTTTCCAATGGCTTCCTAAAAGGGAGGTGGGGAAAATAAAATAGCTTTGTAGGCTTTCTGGCTAATCAACAGAATTTAGGCCATGGTACAATGCTGAAAAGGAATTAGTGTGGCTGGTCCCTGGCAGCATCCCTTCAGTTATTTAATGGCTTACAGTCACAAAAGTAATAATCTCTTCTCTCGTAACACACCTAGATCATTGCAGGCGATTGGCTCTCTCAATCTGTTCCAAATGGTCTGCAGCTCGAACCTTCTCTGTTCTTGGAAGGAGGCACAGTTTTAATGTCCTAGGACTCAAAACCAAGAGGCAACATTAGTGGAGCGAAATTATGTTTATTAGGAAAGCACCAACACTACATTCTTCGAAATTACTGGAATTTTATTTGCCTCAGGCTTATGACTTGCAACCAAAGACATTGTGCAAAGAAAGCAAAGATTAAGTACACTTTAGGGAGAAGGAGACAATACACATTGCTAACATAGGAAATCAGGTGGACAAAAGAAGCCATCCAGGACACTATATAGATCGCAATATTCAATAGCAGTTTCAACAAAACTTTTCAAAACGGGATCAAAAAAATTAAGCAATGTTTATAGTAGACATAAATCTTATACAATTCAAAAAGCATTTTTCAGATCATAGAGCATAAAGTGGAAAAATGTATATGTAGGTGAATTCTAACTACTGTACATTTATCACCTATTAAAGTTGCTTATATGTACCACAGTGTAAAAAAAAAAACAAAGATCTTGAAAATTGCCTGATGAAAAATAAAATAACCAGTGGCTTTTAATGGCTTCTCCTGGTTACCAGTGCTACAAAAGACAAAAATCTCATCCGAACAGGTGATAAAACCAGGCACAAACCGTTACCAAATTAGACCCACCCATAGAAATATACTATCTACCCTCATTTTCCATCAAAAGCTTTTGTTTTAATCTTTGAATCTTTGAGGCCCATTTGGTCACAATATGTTACAAATATCTGCGTGTTTTTTACACCATGATATCATATGTTTGTCTGGCACTATTCTAAAGCTAGTTTATAAGATGATGACGAGGACACAGAAAGAACCCAGTGCCCAAATGACAGGAGAACTCACTGGGTAGAAATGAGAGAGGGGAGGGAAAGTATTCCGTTCTACCGTGGATAAAATGTCCACAAGGATCACTCATCATCCGTCCCACTTGCTTCTGACTGTTCCTGAAAGTAAAAGGTAACATACAATATAGTCATATGTTTAAAAAAAAAGGAAAAATAAACTCTCGTGAGGCAAAGTGGAAATGACATTTTGGGATCTGAGCACTCAATCTCTGTGGGAAGAAAGAAAAGACACGCAGAGGTGTGGCCAACCGCTGCTTCAGAGGTGGCTTTTCTGATAGGAAAATCCCAAGCAACACCCTACTGCAGACCCCTGCAGTTAGGTTCCAGTTTCCTGCCCAGTATACTACACGGGCCCATGGGAAAAACAGCAAAACTAAAAGAGAAAGTGGAGTTCCAGGATGAGCAATGCTTTTGTAACCAACAAAGGTGCTGGCCAGCCACTGATTTTTATTAGTAATCAATTAGGGCAAAGGCGAGCTTTGTGCAAGGGCAGGAGTACATCAGGTTTCTGTGGAAACATAAAGGACAACACAAAGCACTCTTGCATTAGGAACAGAATAGGCAAAATATATGGTTGTAATTAAAACACTGTCCTTCTAGTGAGAAGGTTTTCATTGTGGGAATAGAATTTGGGTGCAAGTTACTCTGACCTTGGCATGTAAGCTTCGGCTGGATTCATTTCTATAAGCAAAACAATTGTGGGGTTAACCCTGGACAGGCTGTGCTGCGAATAGCCTACTTGAGACATAATCAGTATCACAGTCTCCCAGAACACCCAGTAGCTGTGCTTGTTATGTGCTGTCTTTTACCTTGGCTTCAGAAGTTTATGGCTAATAATTTCTATTTTTAGGTATACTTTAGAAAATGCACGGAGAAAGCAAAGGACACTGCATTTGATATCTGCTTGCTGTAAGTCAAAGAAAACAACATTTTATTTTTATTTGTTTATTGGTACCAGGGATCGAACTCAGGTCCTTCTGAGGCAGGCGGCAGAACCACTAAGCTAAATCCCCGGCCCTGGAAAACAACATTTTAAAGGTACTTGTTGCAAACACTTGGCTTAAGGCTGGCGTGCAAAGAAAATTCTGCAATTTTCCAATCAGACCAGAGTGACAGTGTGTTAAAAGGAGAGCAAATTAGCATGTATACTAAAACGGACAGTGTGATCTTCCCAAAAGGACAAGTGTGTGGCAGAGAACCGCAGCTCTCCTAGAAAGTGAATGAAGTGGAAGGTACTCCAGGAATACAGGCCCCAGAGGGCCGTACTGCAACACTTTTGCTCTTTCTTTTTTCTCTCTACTAAGTCCTAGGGTACTGTGCTGGGTGTAATGTGTATGAAAATATTAAGTGGCCACAAAGAAAACTACACTTGCAAGTAAATGCACGGGAAGATTGTTTCTTTTTTTTTAAAGAGGTAAGAAGGGAAGATAAACTTTTCATTTTTAAAATCTATTTAAAAAGGACCGGTGGACCGGGGCTTTAGTTCTGCCACTTGCCTCGGAAGACACAAGGACCCAAGTTCAATCCCTGGTACTAAACAAAAAAAGGGCGGGGGCTGTGGAGGGTTGGTGGCATGGTGTCTGCCTAGCAAGTTCGACCCTTGGTTCCAAAAAGAAAGTATTAAAAAAGTAGCACATGAAGCCCCATGTTCGTTCTTCTAAACCAGTGATGGCAAACCTTTTAGAGCTTTCAATGATACAAATATCAAAGCTTTCCCACCACTGTCCTAAACCATGGAGCTCTGTTCACAGACTTAGCAGTAAAAACTCTCATTCCATTTGCAGTTCTGGGTGGGAAAACAGTACGGGCAGAGAGGGACAGGGACAGGGGAGGACTTCTCTGCCAAGACCAACACTTACGTTTTCATCCTGCTCTTCGTCACTGTCAAAATCACTCACTATAGGCTTTGCTTTTCCTCGATTTGGCCTTTTCTTGCCTTTCCCTTTGTCCCGGCCTTTCTCATCTTTTTTATTGAGCTTGATTTTCACCTTAACAGATTTTGCTACAACAGAAACAAAACAGGTCCCAGTGAGGATTCACAGGGCAATCTTGTACAGAAGTACAATGATCCAACCCACAGCGAACAAAACCAAAGCACCCAGAGCACTCACTCTCGCTGTCCTGTGTACTTAAGCACAGCTTCACAGGCAGATGGGTCTCTGTTTGGAAGACAAATTAGAGTCACAGGAAATGGGCAACAAAAGGAAAGGAAAAGCAGTATCACTGAGGCTGGGTCCTTTCCTGTCTCCTCATGGCTAACAGGTACAGGGAGGTGTGTGAATTAAAATTGTGCATTAAAAATCTAAATAAGTAGAAAATGACCCACGGTGACACTGTTTGGGTAACTCTAGATCTCTGGTGGCCAACTCATGGCAAACACGCTGCAGTGGGCACACAGCTGAGCTCCCAGCAGTGCTGGTACTCTGTGATGGGTAAGTGGGTGTTAGGTTGCACTTTGGGCACTCAGTCTCTAAAAGGTTCGTTATCGCTGCTCTAGATGATTTAAAAACAAAGCCAAAAGTCAGGTGGGTGATATAGGCCTGTAATCCCAGGACTCCAGGAGGCTAAGGAAGGAGGATCCAAGTTGGATCTCAGCCTGGGCAACTACATGAGACCCTGTCTTAAAAAATAGCTAGGAATATAGCTCAATGTAAAGGTCCTGGGTTCAATTCCCAATATTTTAAACAAAATAGTAAAACATGCCTCCAAAAGCCCCCCCCCGTCTCTCTCCTTATAATTGTTAGAAAGATGTCTATCTGCACATCATATATTCTTTTTGGTGTGTGTAAATTTACAGGCACTATAAAGAATGCATATGCACACACGCACATATTGGGATGTTATACTTGTCTATGTTCCACACCTCATTTTTCTGTCACGAGGGACACTGATGTTTCAGTTCAGATGTTCTTGCCTAATTCCAGCTGGCACTTGACTAGTTTCCGTCCTGAGGTACACTGTAATGTATTTAAACCATCCCATGGCAATGGCAGCTGCTGTTCCCAGCTTCTCCGCTACTATAAATTTGCCAGACACCTACTTGTTAACCCTTCTTGGCAGAACGGAGGGGAGGCAGGGTGGTCACATCCACATGGCCAATTTCCTACAGTGCTCTGCCAACGTAACTCAGAAAGACTACTCCTTTCCATTCTGACGGCTACACCGAGGAGACAAATGTTCAAAGCACTACAGAAAAATGTAGGTGTGGATCCTAGCTCAGATGGCCTTGCTTTGGGACTGGCACCCATAGGTGGTACTCTGGGATCACTGAGAATGTGGGTCTCTCATCAAGAATACCACGTGTGTGATGCATCTCAAGGTAACTGGAGATACTATATAGCTTTATCTAGATCCCTCTCTATATGGTGTGATGGGGCAAATCATGGCTCAGGCAGGAGCTTTTGAGATAGGGCACTGTCAGATTGATTTGGGGAGGAGACCTGTGAAACATTTATACAATGAAATTGCCCAGGCAAACCGGAGAATGAGTGGTTAGTTGTGCCCTTCTCCCCTCCCCAATAGGGCAAATGCAAACACATAATACAGAACTGCTAGCCAAGTTTTCGCTCCATCATTCCCAGATGTCTGTTAGTTAATGTGCTATAGGATGGTGGCCTTCGGTGGATCTTTATCTGTAGGGACAGAGGCTCTAAAAACAATGATGCCAGTAACCAGTCATACTTGGCCACTTTGAAATAGCCGGGCCAGAAAAAGTGAAGTATCTACCTATCCAGGTCCACCTGTTCTGGACATGGGAGTACACACATTCATACAGGCGGGTAAAACATACTTGGATCTCCAGAAACCCTACCTGCCAGGCTGCTGTGGACAGGCAGGCTGATAGCTAGCTAAGCCCTGCAACCAACTACCTAGGTGTTACAGTGCCGTGGTGAGGCCCTTAGGAATCTCTAGTTACTTAATCCCAACCCCCACACCTGGCACCTGACGTGGTACAAGGCATCTTCCAGGGGAGTCTGTAATGACGTAAATCATTAAAAGGAGATGGACCAGAGAAGGACCGTACCCCCTCTCACTGATCCCAGAAAGAGAACAGGTTGTGAGGGGCTGAAGACAGGCTGCCCTCACCTCATCCCCACCTCCGCCGCGGAGCACAGCCTGTTACCATCTTGCTTTACCAAGCTGAACTTGTGGCCCACAGGACTGTAAGGTGACAAACCTGTGTTGTCTTAAGCCACTAAGTTTGGGTAGTTTGTGTTACATTCGCAATAACAAATCACCCACAGGCTCAAAAGAGATCGCGTGAGGCCTGGATCAAAAAGTAAAATCCATTTTGTACGTTCACTAATGAATGTCAATACATCTTATAGAAAAAAACCACTGCTGGCTTTGAAAATGTTCATGTGCAGAAAAATTATGCTATCAATTATATGAAAGAATGAAATGTAGAAGGTGACTTCTCAAAATGTAATGCTACATTGGGTAGTGAAATTTTAAGTTTATTACAGAAAATGTTTTTAATATTTAGAGTTTGTATGCACTGTTCTAAATATGGACGGTAGCCCATGGGATTGTAGGGACTGAAAACCCGATTAGGCTTCTGAAGGCAACCTTCTTTGAAATAGTAAGGCTATCACCATGAACGTAAAATTCAGGATCACCCTATCCCTTTCTAATGCAGTATTTCCACTGTTCCAATTCTGCTTGAACATCATGGCTTTGGAAAATAACTGCCAAGCTGGGTGTGTTGGCGCACGCCTGTAATCTCAGCACTCTGGAGGCTGAGGCAGGAGTAGCTCCACGAGTTCAAGGGCAGGATGGCTTATATAGTGAGTTCAAGGCCAGCCTGAAGATAAAGAAAATAACTGCCCAAACCTGGCCTCAGCCCAGCCACATGTACATCCTGTGAGAATGCTAAAAAGGCAGAGTCAAGCCCTTTAGGTTTCAGAACCTGTGCTGAAGGGTAGAACAGTGCTGCTTATACGAAAGTTGTGCCAGTGTCAGAGTCCACGGCAGCACTGCTCAGAGTGCACACTGCGCTCCTTACACACTAACCTGTTTTACCCAGGAGGGAGCTGAGCGGGTCACCTGGAGAAGACCAAGGGCTTGAGCCCAGATCTGCCGGCTCTGCAGTCTTTTCTGTAAGCACCTGACCTGTAAACATCTGCGCAGGTGGGAAGGAACAAGGATGCACAGGAGCCAGAGGCCGGGACTCACCCTCAGACTCAGACTCCTCTTCCTCTTCCTCCTCCTCCTCTTCATTGCTTTCCTCCTCGCTTTCTTCCTCTTTGGCGATCTTCTGCCGTGCACTCTTAAACACTGACTGCAAGACGATGGAGTCTTCATAGATCTAAATGGTCAAAGTGGCATCTGTTAAAAGCCGAGGGCTCGGGATGCACAGTCGCCCTTTCTTAGGCGGTGCACTAGCTTTATTTTACAGGAATGGGGTTAGAAACGTAACCATTAGTGCCTTTATCTATGTAAAAACATGGAACCAAATCCAGGTACGCACATTCCTGCAGGAGCAAGTCCAAATGCAGGTAAAATCATTTCAAAATGTGTCTGCGCGTGCGCACGCACATACAAGGAGGTGACAAGATATCCATACCTTGGACCACAGAAACAATATTTTAAAAACTGCCTTTCAGTTGTACATGTTGGCGCATAGAGGCTTATGATCCCAGCACTTTGGGAAGCTGAGGCAGGAGGATCACAAGCTGGAGCACAACTGAGCCAGGCCCTGTCTCAAAAGAAGAAGAAAGAGAGCTGTGGTGTGCCCGAGTGCAAAGGCTCTAGATTTACTCCCAAGTATTGAAAAAAAAATCTACTAAATATTGTGGTAACACCATGGTGATCGAGCCTCTTTAAAGTATTCCTTACTACTGAGTTCACCGGTGCCAGCCAATACATATGCAGTCAACATCCTATTTTTTGGTGTATGCACACACCTGAGCACCGCCCTGTGTAGGTACTGACAAGGTTCACGAAAAATTAAAAACAGAACTGCTATCTGAGCTAGCAATCCCACTTCTGGCTATGTATTCAAAATAATTTAAAGCGAGGTCTTAAAGACACATTTGTATACCTATATTCATAAAAACATGATTCCTGGCCAGGGATTTAGCTCAGTGGTCCCACTGCCTGCCTTGCAAGCACAAGGACCCAAGTTTGATCCCCAGTACCAAAAAAAAAAACAGAAGAAAAAAAAAATTGATTCCTAACAAGCAGGTGTCAGAAGCAATCCAATTACCTACAGACAGACAAACAGCCAAACAGCACGAAACAAAATGTGGCACAAATATGCAATGGAATATGATTCAGCCCTGAATAGGAAGAAAATCCTGTCACAAGCTACAACTGGAAATGAACCTTGAGGACATTATGTAAAGTGGAAAAAATAAGCCATCACCAAAAGACAAATACTGAATGACTCATGAGGCATGAAGTCCACAGTAGAATTCAGAAACAAAGGAGAATGGTGGATACCAGCTAGGGTTGGGGAGCAGAGAGTTGCTTTAGGCACAGAGGATCAGTTCAGCAAGAAGCAAAACTCCTGAGTGATCTGTTGCATAACAGCGTGCATGTAATTAACACCATGGAGCTGTACCCTTAAATTTTATGTAGCCCTTTGTACAAAAACAGGTAAACATTTTTAAAAGGAAAAGAACGCTCCTTGATTTCTAGGAATATTTCGCTTTATGGTGAAGATGAGTGTGTGTTTTCTTTTTTCCTTTAAGCAGTGAGTACTACGGGAAAATGAACTCCAGGAGGAGAGAGGAGGCTGCGGGCCAGAGCCACAGGGGCAGCATTTACGAGACGTCGGAGGGGTGAGAGGTGTGACACCGCTGCCAGTTCCTGGACTCTGGCACTACTCCGCTACGCAAGGGCACAGCGGGTCTCTGCACACAAGTCCTCTTCGGTGTCGGAGCTCGGGAACTGCACTGGGAAGGAGGCCGCTGTCCGTGGGACCTGTGTGACTGCACCACCATCCGTGGGACCTGTGTGACTGCTCCACCAACCAGGTGGGCTGGGAGCAGCACGGCTGACGGCGCAGGGCGCAGGGGTGAAGGGAGAGTGGAACAGGAGCCCGCACTCCGTGGAGATGAAGTTCGCTCTAGACAGGGCGGGAAACCCTGGAGCCGAAGGGGCAGCACGAGAAATTAAGTGAGCCTCTCGGAGACTGAGTACAGACAGGCTGTGGGACTAGAAAGGGACTGGAGGAAAATCGTAAATCTACCGAGAGTCTAACAGGATCCTATATAAAAGGCTTCTCTGATTTTTCCATTTACTCCCTTTCTGCCTTGGCTTTGATCCCAACTGTCTTTAGAAGATTTCTAACATGGAGAGCTGGTCCTCCACCCCTCTGGTTCTGGTTACCAGTACTAGTCATGGCCATTTTAACGAGGCCATTTCAGATTCTGCTGAGGGCTCACAAAATGAATGGATATAGACACACAGGCAAAAGATTAAGATCAGGAAAGCAGCTTAAGAATTTAGTGGTGGCTCCAGAGAGTGTTGCTCAGCAGACAATGACCAGGCTGTTTTTTCTTTCTTTTTCACTGGCTACGAGGGCATTAGGTCAAAATACAGCTGGAAAAAAGTGACTTTCACCAAAAGGTACCAGTAATTAAGGTATAATTCAAGCAGAAGTGTCCTTCCCTTTGTTATTTGAATAAATTCAGGGGGCGCTTATATTCTGCTAATTCTTGCGAGAAGGGAAAAAAAGAATCGCAAAGGGGCCATAAGGATTTTGAAAAGCAACTAGAGGCAGGTTTCCCTCTGTTTTAAGTCAAAGGACTTTCAACTCCTGATGTGAAGTTATAATGAGAAAAATCGAGGTAAACATAATCAAATATAGTTCCCCCAAACAAAAAATGGCATGGCAGCCTTTCAAAAGGCATTACCTTAACTGCTTCACCCAAATTCCTCCTCCAATCAGAGAGCGGAAGTGTGGGCAGCAGCCAGCCCAGCTATGACACTGAGGTAACTTCAAAAACGTCAAAGCCTTGATTTCCTTACACAAAGGAGCACAGAATAACCTTGTGTTTTTGTTTTGTTGTTGTTTTCATTTTTCTTCTGCTAGGGTAAAGTAGCCACGACCGAGAGTGTAAACACGAAATGCTTTCCTTGAAAAAACACAGGTGTGCTGAAGGTTAAAAACTTTGCAGACAAGCGGAGATGTACCTGGGATCCCTCCAAATTGAAGGTCTGAGCGTTGTGACACAGAAGCATGACATCTTTCTCCAAGTCGCCCAGGCTCCGGTACTTATGATTACGAATTCTTTCCTGATGGAAATTGTGGATAAAATAGAGGAAAGGAAGATACAACAGTTGTTCCTTGAGAAAGCCTGATTTTCTCTCTGCCTTCACAGCCTACAGCCCTGCTATGGGACTGGCTCAACCCAAGGAGGTGCCACGCACTGAAAAGCCCTCCTGCCAGTGTTCCTTCCCCGCTAAGGACGGAGCTGGGGACGGGAAACAAAAAGGGCAGGGCGTGCCATACTACAAACTCTGAACGTAGTGATTCTGCAACACACAGAAAGGCATAAAGACAACCCAGCCCTGTCTTCCCTGTACCACACTTCACCCCCGACCCCAACCATCTCAACACATTCATACCTCATCTACTTGGATAACCTGAGCGAACAAAACACCTACCTTTATTTTTTTGAAATCCACTGGCTTCCGAATTAATTCATAGTATTCTGGTAACTCTTTCCGGGAGGGTAACTGAATGAAGACTTCGCTGAGCTGCCGCCCTGAACTGCAGAGTGGGTGAAACAAACAAAACACAAATCAGATCGAGCACTCCTCAGTGAAGGCTTTGCTTCAGGAGACAGCAACAGAGCAAATTACTCCCTATCCACATAGACCCAGACACGAGGCTGCTGAAACTGAGGAAAATCCCACAATTACATTGGCCATTAAGGCCCATTCTGCTTCTAACTTCAAGTGATATTAATACAATTAGCACAGTACTACTGTCATATGTGAAGCACACAGTGGGTTCCTTTTACAGCAAATCTCGATTTATCGTGCTATTTAAACTATCCTATTTAACCAAAAAATGCATTTTTACATGACAACAGAGTGGATTAAAAACACACGGCTATTACTCTCCTTTGTCTTCAAATTCATTTTGTATTAAGAAATAACTCAGAATGTGCTCAGCATTCTCAAATGAAAGGCTTTTGTATGTTCCTAGTTACTATCCATCCATTTGGTCTTCGGAGTAGACCAAATGCCACACACACCTTTAATGCTTGCACCAGGAAACCCTTCAGCTTCCCTCCCTGCCCTTAAGGGCCTCACGTTTCCAAGATCAGTGTTGTGCCCTCCCCCAAATTCACGGTGGGTTCATTCCAAAGCAAGTTGGGCAGCTACAAAAGGCTTCTCATTTTGTAATTTTGAAAACTAGGCTGCACAGCAATATAAGCTTTTCCATCCCTTAATATTGAAGCAGACATGGGTAAAGAAACAAAGAATAATTTAGATTCAAGATCCTAATATCCGATTTGGCCTTCCCAGATCAATGGCAGCCTGTGATATATGGTACAGTCATTTTTCGCTAAAATCTGGCTCCCCTTATGATGCCATCTCTAGCTCCTTTGTGAAGCCAGAAACATCAAAAAAAGAAAAAAAAAATCATAAATCACTGCCATGTAAATGTGAGGCAGCGATTCTAGGAATGTTTGGGAAGGCTAGGAAGCAGTGGCAAAGCTTGAGTGACAATATGCTGTTTTAATCCACAGTCTCAGTTGTATAATTAAAAAATAATCATAATGACAGTTATCATCAAAAAGGCATGCGCAGTAACTCAAATGGTTGCCTAGCAACCAGCGAGGGAAAAAAGCTGAAGTGCAAAGGGGCCGCATAAATTAACCGAAAATCCCCTGTCAAAGGGATGGGAGAGGTTTCCTGCTACTATGGGTCACTGTTTTCTCCAATCCATATAGGGGCCTTATGGGCACTGGCATCAGGGACAAGGACCAGAGGCGTAAGGGCTGCAGACCCCTAGGAGTTGGATTTTTATATGATTGAGGCCAGGTGTTCCCTCAGCGTTACAACCACCGCCCCCCACTCCCTGCAGGCTGAAAATGCTTCTGTATGTGCAGAATGTGCCACACAAAAACTAGCTTCGGTACTACCGGCTTCAGCACAGGGCCGCAGTATCGGGCATGTTTTTCTACCACCCTAAGAGTTACACACTCCAGCATTTCTTCCTGTTTGAAAAGCGTTACAGGAAGGGTACTGAGAAGAATTGGTAGTTACTACTTTTTCTATGCGTGACGTCTTAAACATTAGCATTCTTATAACCTGACTTTAGCGACCCTAAAGCCAGACCTTTTTGTAATCGTGGATTTAACACCTGACCTTCAGTGACCTCTTCACCGTTGTCGTTTTCTGCATTGCCAACAGATGGTGTCATTTTTCTATTGACAGATTACAAGGACTCCGTACACCTGTGACAGACACACTCTTAATTTTGACTGTGTGGCTGGTGAAATGGGGGACATGAACGAAGCGTCCATCTGCCCTCTTGTGGGTCAGGATACAGAAATTCCAAACCTATTAGAAGACAAGTGCAGAGTTCTTTGTGCTCATAAAGGGGACAACTCAATGTTGTCAGACTGGGCACCGATGCCGTAGAATCAATTTATTCTAAAAATAAAGCCTCACCGGACTTGGTCTTGAGCCACTTCCCTTTGGCTCTTCCAGAGGACTTGGACAAAGGATGACACAGAAGCTGCTAGAGAAGGTTTCTCCCCAACACACCGCTCCCACCATCACTCAACACCTTGGTCGGGCCGTCCCAGCCCTCGGGGCCACATCTCCACCTTCTCTAGTGACCACAACAGCGTGTCCTCTGTGGACCCTATGGACCACGACCGATCCTCCCCTTTCTACCCCACCCATCTCTCCCTCCATGGCTGAAAGCTGCTTTGCCCTCTTCAAATACTTCACGAGCTATCCAGGACCAGGGCTCCATCTGCCATAAAGAGAGGAAATTCTCCTAAACACTAGACTCCCACCATCTCAACGCTCAGCACTTCATCCTTCCAAGTACATTGTTTTCTCTCTCCTTCCTACAGAGTGCAAATGCTTTCCGTGAAGTCAAATCCTCTCCTCACTTTGCCAGGCCAGTGTCAAAAAAAAAAAAAAAGAGCTTCAGAGTGTTTTGAATTCTTGGGATTCCTTTCTCAAACTTGAGCTGGGCATAGGCTTTGTAATGTACCCTTTCAACATTTTTTTTTCAGTGCCTGAATATTTTTTAAGTACAGAACAACAAGCTAATTGTACAATGGCCTGTAGCAGGTGATCTGATTTTGTTGAAATGCTTATCCTATCCCAAGGTACTTTCCATTATGTCATTGAGGTACAATTTAAGGCCTAAGTATAAACTGCTCCGTCAAAACACAATGCTGCACACAACAAAAGCAAGAATCTGCTCCTTAGTTCACCGAAGGCTTACATTTCAGATCCATTTTGTACAGTTATCTATCTCAGACTCAGAAGTGTGACTCTTTAGACAAAGACTGGTTGGGGGGGGAAGCTAACCTACAGTACCAATTTAAATGACTGCAGTGGACTTAACACATTGGCAGGTGGGGGTAGGCAGCCCCCTCCCCTCCCTCTGTGGAGGGGAAGCCTGGACATGACTGACAGGTATCCACTGGAACAGCTCTGCACAACCCTAACAAATGGAGGCTCACAACCTGCATGCATAATGGTGCACACACGCACGCACAGGCACACATCGCACACAACGGAGATCTGTCATGCTTCATCTGGAAACCAATTTCTCCATTACCTTCACAAACCAAAATGGCAGTATTTTCACATCTATCTTACTAGAGGCCTCTAAAACGGAAACCGCATGCATTATACATAAATATAAGCTTCTCCACTGATTACA